AAAAAAAAAAAAGAAGGAGGGCCTTATCAACAGGGCATGGAATCCGTCTCATGACAATTGTAAAGTATATTACATAATTTCATATGAGGACAAAGTCAACTAATTGAATTAACATCTGGACAAATTATTTCTGTGCTTGCTTTGACAGCACATTTACCAAAACTGGAACAATACAGAGAAGATTAGAATGGCCCTGCACAAATATGTGCTATATTATTTAAAACCTCCAAAAGGAAGGTCAATGAATACTAATAAAAACTTTATACATGTCAGTATAGGTGCTTCGGGTATTGTGTCTCTTTTAGTGCTTACAATTATTCTATGGAACAGACACTGTGCTAGCATCCACATTCCAAACATGGAGAAACAGGCATACATCCAGTCACATAACTAAAGCCTGTGCTCATCAACTCTCTGAAGTGGCTCTCTCTGGCATCACTGACCTATTAAGACAGTTAAAAAAGGCACTGAAGTTAAACAAAGTGGCTATCTTTTTTGGATAAAATTGGCATAAAAAATTTAGAAATTTAAACGAGTATACTACAAAGCATCTTACGTATTTTATTTTATTTTATTATTATTTATTTTTATTCAGGCATCTGCTACAACGCCCAGCCATTTTTTTGTTGCAGTTTGGCTGGGGCTGGGTTCAAACGCCACCCACAGTATATGGGGCTGGCGCCTTACACATTGAGCCACAGGCACCGCCCAGCATCTTATATATTTTAAAGCATTATATACAAAGCATTTTAAATATTTATAGCAAGGATGTATAATCCCCAGACTGAGAGAAAACTTACTGCATCACTGATACCAAAGCCACAAAGCACTAACTCTAGGCACCTAACAAGAGCATCGCTACAAAGTAAAAGCAATTAAGTTCTTTCTGCTTTGCCACTAGCAACACGCCTGAAGCCCTAACCCCTGACCCTGATGGATCTCACTGTTCAGATACTCAAGAAGCTATAACACAAAACACTTTGCAAATGTGTGAATATTTTCTTCTTGAAGATAAACTTCGCAGAAGGGCAAATTCACATTTTCTCTTTTGTTTTTAGATCATAACATACCTTGATTTACAGCAAGTTTGAGAGCAGCCTCACCCCAAGTTTCTAATTTTCGATAAATGATGAGACCAGCCTATAAACAAACAGAAAAATAAAAAGAGCATATTAAAGGTAGCCAAAAATAAAACTCTCCATCCCATCTACAGAAAAACCTAAGAGAATGACACCCCAAGCAAATCAGTCACTGAATTTAACCTATTATGCTACACAAAGATCTATTATGTCTTCATTTACTCCCCCAAACCACTGTGGAAATGGAGGAAGTAAACTAAGCCTTAAAAGAAAAGTTCTTCAGTTTTCACTTTTTTAATCAATGTTATTAGTAGATATCCAAATCAAATAACCTGGAAAGGGAACCTACCAAAATACAACCTGTTTTGACCACAGATACCCACTGCCCTCTACTAAGTAAGCTGAGAATGTCCATTAGCGTATGACCGGCCCTCCTAAGCACTGTTACCAGAACAATCGAGTCACACTGATTTTTCACGGGGAAAAATGCTACAGAACTTCTGCTGGTTCTGAGTAAGTTTTATGAATTTGTTCAAAGGAAAATTATCACTTTATTTCCTTAACAAAAGTGAATTTTTTTTTGGTTACAAATCAAAGCAGTTTCTATTCCTAAAAATAGAATATAAAAAGGGAAACAGTAAGACAGTCATAACAAATAAAAGTATGGATTAGGGGGAAAGAAATTCACTGAGGAGAATGTATTTCTTTAAAAACATGCACACAGGAGTGCTATATATAAAGATAAACCCAGATTTCTTTATGTACAAATACGTAAATGTGAAAATGTATCTAATGGCAATAGCAACCTAAATTTGG